CTCCGAGGAGGAAGCGATGCCGAAACCGCTGCTCGTCCGGGAGATCTCTCGGCGCCACGGCCGGACTCTCCTCGAAATGCTGGCCGGAGCGCATCCCGGAGGAGGAGGAGGAGGAGGAGGAGGAGGAGGAGGAGGACGACGACGAGGAGGAGGACGAGGAGGAGGACGACGAGGAGGAGGAGGAGGAGGAGGAGGAGGCGGAGGAGGGGGGCCGGCCAGCTCCCCGGCGCAAAATCGCGCCGCGGGGCAGCGGCCCGGGTCTCCATCGGGGGCAGCGGTTGGGGGGGACAGGCGCAGTTCCTCGAAGGTCGAGGCCTGGGGGGGGGGCGTTTTCGTTCCTCCGGGGCGGCCTGCAGGCCTCGGGAGGCTCTCCAGCAGCTGCGCCTCGCCGAGAGCGCTCCGGAGATGCCCGGATCGTCCCGAACGGCCACTGGAGAGCCAAACCACCAGGGACGGGGATAGGCCCAGGGGGGGATGCAGCGACCCCCAATCGCTTCTTCATCGCCGGTGTGCAGTCGGCCCTGCTTAGTAGGTCGACCCTGCCAAGTCAAGGGTACCCTTAGGCAACCTTGTGTCCTGTGCCTCGCGACTCCTGCCTCCCACATCCCCCATGGCAACGTGGCCCTCGGAAGGGTCTTGTGTCCTCTCGCGTGTCCTGTCCAATCAGTTCGGGGCCCACACCTATACACCACCACCACCTCCCTCACCCCCTCCCTCTCCCAGGAAAGAGGCGAGGAAGAAGAGGGTAGAGGAGGGAGAATAAATCGACGCGGTGGTGGTGTATACTCTTTGGGCCCGCAATCAGGGCCGACTGTAGGGGCCTGATGGCCCACCCCACCCAGGAGCGCGCGGGCTCGCTGCCGGGGGGGCGCTCGCCGACCTGTCGGCGAGGCACCGCCGGTTCCAGCCCGACGCTTCCCCCCCCGTGAGCCGGTGGTCCCCGGGGGGGGGGAGGAGGAGGAGGAGGAGGAGGAGAGGAGGAGGAGGAGGAGGAGGAGGAGGAGGAGGAGGAGGAGGAGGAGTTCCCCTGTAGTTTGTGGTGGCACGCCGCCCGTGGCCTGGAGTCGGCCCCGTCGTTGCACGATCCGGCGCTCGCGGAGCGCCCGATCTCGCTCGAGTCCGAGGGATCCCCGCGGTGTCGGGAACAACTGCCGGGGTCGACACGCAAGGGCTCCCACGAGGGCGCGAATTTATTCGCGCTTCGCGCTTCGCGGTCCTCGTTCCTTCTCCCCCTCCTCCTCGTCCTCCTATTCTCCCTTTGGGGGGGCGGCGCGAGGGCGCGAAGTTATTCGCGCTTCGCGCAGCGCGAAGCGCGAAGTTGGGAGCCCTAGCCGATCTCGCTCGAGTCCGAAGGATCCCCGCGGTGTCGGGAACAACTGCCGGGGTCGACACGACGCGAGCCTGCCGCACAGGCGGATTTTGGAGGAGAGAGGTGGGAAACAGTCAAGGCAGAGTCACACATGCTCAGGAGCAGTGGGAGATTCGTCCCCAGACTATTTTTCTTGTCTGACAGTGTTTTGGATGATCCTCCCAGGGCTGGACCTGAACGCTGTTTTGCTGGACGGGGGCCGTGTTTTGCTTTTCGTGTTGGCAGGGAGGCGCAGGAAAACAGGTAGAGCAAAACGACGAACAACAAAACGAGAACAAGACGAAAAACAACGCTCAGGTCCAGCCCTGAGTCCTCCTGTAGAGGGACATGCTCGACCTATGCCTCGTGCCAAGGTGCACCACACGAGTGATGGAAGACCTGCCAGACCCCGGCGCCACGAGGCTCCGAGGAGGAAGCGATGCCGAAACCGCTGCTCGTCCGGGAGATCCCTCGGCGCCACGGCCGGACTCTCCTCGAAATGCTGGCCGGAGCGCATCCCGGAGGAGGAGGAGGAGGAGGAGGAGGAGGAGGAGGAGGAGGAGGACGACGAGGAGGAGGACGAGGAGGAGGACGACGAGGAGGAGGAGGAAGGAGGAGGATGCGGAGGAGGGGGGCCAGCAGCACTCCCCGGCGCAAAATCGCGGCCGGGCGGCAGCGGCCCGGTCTCATCGGGGCAGGGTTGGGGGGGGCAGGCGCAGTCCTCGAAGGTCGAGGCCTGGGGGGGGGCGTTTTCGTTCCTCCGGGGCGGCCTGCAGGCCTCGGGAGGCTCTCCAGCAGCTGCGCCTCGCCGAGAGCGCTCCGGAGATGCCCGGATCGTCCCGAACGGCCACTGGAGAGCCAAACCACCAGGGACGGGGATAGGCCCAGGGGGGGATGCAGCGACCCCCAATCGCTTCTTCATCGCCAGTGTGCAGTCGGCCCTGCTTAGTAGGTCGACCCTGCCAAGTCAAGGGTACCCTTAGGCAACCTTGTGTCCTGTGCCTCGCGACTCCTGCCTCCCACATCCCCCATGGCAACGTGGCCCTCGGAAGGGTCTTGTGTCCTCTCGCGTGTCCTGTCCAATCAGTTCGGGGCCCACACCTATACACCACCACCACCTCCCTCACCCCCTCCCTCTCCCAGGAAAGAGGCGAGGAAGAAGAGGGTAGAGGAGGGAGAATAAATCGACGCGGTGGTGGTGTATACTCTGTGGGCCCGCAATCAGGGCCGACTGTAGGGGCCTGATGGCCCACCCCACCCAGGAGCGCGCGGGCTCGCTGCCGGGGGGGCGCTCGCCGACCTGTCGGCGAGGCACCGCCGGTTCCAGCCCGACGCTTCCCCCCCCCGTGAGCCGGTGGTCCCCGGGGGGGGGGGAGGAGGAGGAGGAGAGGAGGAGGAGGAGGAGGAGGAGGAGGAGGAAGGAGGAGCGAGGAGGAGGAGGAGGAGGAGGCGGCAGATCCAGGTTCCAGCCCGACGCTTCCCCCCCGTGAGCCGGTGGTCCCCGCCGTTGCCCCTGACTCCAGGCAGATCCAGGCCTCCCAAGTGGGGTCCGAGCATACGCGGCGGGTCAAGAGGGTCGCGCCGCATCGCCGATGCGGCGCGGTGTGGAGCCCGATTTTCTACACCCCTCCGTCGCCGAGGCGCCGTGGACGCACGCATCCGCGCGGGCCCCCCCCCCCTGTCGGCGCCTCCCCTGGTGCGCTCCGCGCGCCAGGGAGGGGGTCCAGCGCAGATCCAAGAAGTCCGCGCGGGGCGCCAAAAGTTTGTGTTTATGCAATTGTTTGTTATTCTTGCCCCCACCTCCCGCAGGCCCTCCCAGACCCTCACGGGGCGGGAACTCTCTTGGGCCGTCCTGTGTCCACTCGGGGACCACAGGTGCAAGCAGCGATCCAGGTCACCCCGCGGGGCCGCGAAGGCAATCGCCCGATCTCCCCTCCTCCAATCCTCCTCCTCCTCCTCCTCCTGCCTCCTCCTCCTCCTCCTCCTCCTCCTCCTACCCCTCCCCTCCCCCTCCCCCTCCCCCTCCCCCTCCCCCTCCCCTCCCCCCTCCCCCTTCCTGCCTCCGTCGCCGATGCACTGTGCAGGCCACGATCCAGGTCACCCCGCGGGGGCGCCAAAGGCAAGCGCGCGCCGCGGCCGGGGTCAGAGCGGCCGCCCTTCTCCGAGGGGGCGGCGCGAAGACGATCGCGAGGGCGCGACGAGGGCCGCGCGCCGCGGATTGCGCCGACACCGCGGCGCAAGTGCCCCGGCCCCCCCTCGCCGACCCTCACGGGGCCCCGGCCCCGCGGACGTCTGCGCGCCCGGCGCGCTGCCCCTCGCGGCGACGACGGCCCCCCGAGGCTCGAAGGAGGCTCCTCCTCCTCGTCCTCCTCCTCCTCGTCCTCCCCCTCCCCCTCCCCCTCCTCCTCCTCCTCCCCCTCCTCCCCCTCCCCCTCCTCCCCCTCCTCCTCCTCCTCCTCCTCCTCCTCCTCCTCCTCCTCCTCCTCCTCTTCCTCCTCCTCCTCGAAGGAGAGCACAGTAAGGATGGGCAACGTTCCCCAAGGGTACCCTTGCATCCTCGCCTCCTCGGTCCAGCCTTGGCCACTTTCGTTGCCCGCGCCCCGCTCGGAAAGCTTCGAACTGGGCCTCCAAGGCCCTTGCATCCTTATCGCGCATCCTTAATTACTATACGGGTTGACTGTAGCATGAACGTTTTGGGCGCTCCGCGCGGACTTCTGGCGCGAGGGCGCGAAGCGAGGTGGCCAAGGTTTATCAGGGAAGCGGCGCGATCCTCGGGCCCCTTCGTCGTTGTCGTCGTCGTCCTCGTCGTCCTCGTCGTCGTCGTCCTCGTCCTCGTCCTCGTCGTCCTCGTCGTCCTCGTCGTCCTCGTCGTCCTCGTCGTCCTCGTCATCGTCGTCGTCCTCGTCGTCCTCGTCGTCCTCGTCGTCCTCGTCCTCGTCGTCCTCGTCGTCCTCGTCGTCCTCGTCGCTCCTGCTCGGACCTCGCGCGGGAGGCCTCGGTGTCAGAGGGCCCGCGTTCCCCCTCTCGGCCGAACAGCAGCGGCGCGTGAGGGCGCGGGGGGGCCGCCGTGGGCGCGCCTCGGACAGGCGAGAGTGCCCCAAAAGGGCGCCAGCTGCTGCTGCTGCGGAGGAGGAGGAGGAGGAGGAGGACGAGGAGGACGAGGAGGACGAGGAGGAGGACGAGGAGGACGAGGAGGACGAGGAGGACGAGGAGGACGAGAAGGACGAGAAGGAGGAGGAGGAGGAGGAGGAGGAGGAAGAGGACGAGGAGGACGAGGAGGAGGAGGAAGAGGAGGAGGAGGAGGACGAGGAGGAGGAGGAGGAGGACGAGGAGGAGGAGGAGGAAGTCGAGGAGGAAGAGGAGGAGCCAGCTGCGGCCCCGCCCAGACCTCGAACGTCTCGACGACCACGACCACGACCACGACGACGACGACCACGACCGCGACCACGATGACCACGACCACGACCACCGCGACCACGACGACCACGACGACGACCACGACCACGCCCACGCCCACGACCGCGGCGGCCCCGCCCAGACCTCCAACGCCCCGCGGGGAACTCGGTGCGGAGGGTCTGCGCGGCTTTTTGGGCCTCCGGGGCCCTCGCCGGCCCCCAGGGCGGCAAAACAACCAAGCAGGATCATCCCGCTT